AAGAAGTTGTAACAGAATACTATTAAATAAACAAAATGAGCAGGTCAAATAAGAAATCCATCTTCAAATAAATCTTTCCTTGATGTTGATGATATATGCAAAATCAAAGCACAAAATTCAAAGAGTTCAGACTGCCTGAAAGAAATACAATTAACATAAATGTAAAAAATTGTATAGGATTTCTAATTATGCTCAAGGTTGTAACTTGCTCTTTTATTGTGTGCTTTTATTTTGGAGATAAAACCCGTTTCCGAAGGGACTTGTTCATATGTCTGACTTGATGTAGTTGAACTGATGCTATTCGTGTCTCATTTGAGTATACTATTGTCATTATTATGTGATTATTTACTCTCTAAATAAAAGTAAAAAAACACAGCGTCGTTATTTCTGCATGCTTCATTTGTTGCATTTGTGGACACTAACTGAACTTTGAGCACACAAAGTAAGTTAATAACCAGCATAGGAGGCATAAAATGTTAATTTACTTGAGGAAAATGATTCTATGGTTGGCTGATGAGCTATAATGTAATAAGGTTTGCCAAACAACTGGGGGCAAATTACAAAAGTAAATGAGCCCATTTTTCTTTTCATGTAATCTCCAGGCAGCTCTATTACTGCAAGCCCGAGTGACACATCAGCCCTGAATGACAAGACCATTTATAAATATGGAAATGAGATTCTAACATTTAGCCTGTTTTCATTTTAWATCTGAAATGAACCTCAGTCATAAACAAGAATAAAAAAAACTCCCCAGAGCTCTTGATTTGAGTTATCTGAGCTTCTGCTGTCCAAATAACTTCTTTTAGAGTTTCTTTGTGAGGTTGTAGGTTGAGAGGAATAATTCAAAGAGACAGGAATAAAACATTAAAATAGCTTTAATTAGGTGTAGCTTCACAAGATGGAAGGACGGCACCAAACGACAGAGTTAAATCTGTCTCCTGCTTATCAAACACACTCACACCTGGGTCTGGGAGCAGGTGCTGAGGATCCTGCAGCATGGAGGAGGTGAGAATTAATCATCATTTACTCAAACACTCACTCTCTCTGACTTCTAGATGTCATCATGTATGAGTTCTTCTAATTTTGTTGTTCTATGATAAAGTTTCATCATACATCTCATTTTCAACAGTCCTAACTTGTTTTGCTTTTGTCACGGGCCTTCGGACGCAGGACTGTTCAGCCTGTCACTGCTGTTGGTGTGCAAACCTGAAACCACAGAGCTTCCCCACATGATAGAGCATTTTAACCTTTCCTCTCACAGGAAACCCATGCCTGTGTACACAACTTGAGCGACCACACCAAAATTCTTRTCCACATCAAGATGAACTTTGCTGCTTTGAAACGTATGTGACATCTCATTGGTGACACTGCTGAAAAACAGGCTCYAACTGTGGAGACAGTTCAGCTTGTCCCATCGCTTAAATCCAGCTGTTAACTAGCATCTTAGCTTGGGAAAAGTGACAAAAATACTTGTTCCATGTGGGGACGATGGGTGTCTCTTCAGTCCCTGTTACATGTAGCTATAGTAGCACAATGTTTTGCGGTCTTGCCGGTGGAGTGTGACGCTGTTTTCCCAAATTTATTTAAGTTTAAACACGACTRGTGTTCTAAAAGTAGCCTGAGTAAAGGTCTCCATTCAAAGGGAAAATTGYAACATGCCCTGCCTGTCTGTGTGTTTTGGTGACCTATTATGGTTTAKTTTATTWACTTTTTGTGTTTCCCTGTTTCTTGTCTGTTTCGGTGTCTCCTTCCATTTCTCATGTTCTCCCTCAGTGTTCTTCTTCTTTTGTTTGTAATGGCGGTTGGCAGAAAGGTTCCGTCCTCCATATTTCTTCCAATCTCTCAGCCAGTCTCACCTGTTCACTTTAATTAATCCAGTTGTTTCCCATGTTCTCGTCAGCTCGTTCCTTTATATTCCTTCTCTTGTTCACTACTCATCAGTTCTGCATTGCCTTCAACACCTTTATGTCGATCTGCTCATGATCCCTGGATGATTTACCATCCTATCGGTTAGTTGTTTGTTTTTCTCAAAAAACATTTTTCGAAGAGTCAGTCTGCACTTGGGTGTAAAACTACTGTATTGACAGTAAGTTGCTCTGTTTTTCAAAGTAAACTTTATTCTCCTCCCCTTCCTTCTTAGTCTCAGATATTTTCTGACTTGCTTGATATAAAATGTTCAAATGTTTGTTTYCCTGGAATGTGAATGTTCTATTTTTTTCTGTTTGGAAGTTTTAAAAAATGGGTTTATTATTCAGCCTTAGTCAGGGCTTGAAGATTTTTCTGATTTGTTGGAGTCAAATTGTTCAAATGTTTATTGCTTCCTGTTTAGAATTTGTTCCAGTTTTTTATTTTCTCTGTTTGGAAGGTGTCACTTAGTTTAACTGCATAACATTCTGATAAATGTGCAACTTTTAGTTTAATAAAAACAAACAAGTTCAAATAAATTGGTGGTCTATACACTTTTTTCATTGTCTTACAGGTGATTATTTACAGGTGATTGTAGTAAATATTTTTTTAAATAAGTAACATAATTCCTTCACCCAATTAAAATGTATGTCTCATGGCGTAAATTGTAGTGTAA